CCTCCTTCTCATCACAGTGACTGTATGATTTCTTTACATGCTGGGTTTTCACCTGGGTTTTAAAATTACTGAATAAATATGCAAAGACTGTAAAGTACTAGCAGTCTGTTCAATCAGTTTGCAGGTGGTAATTTTTCTGCATTTGCAAAGTGTTTTTTTTTTAGATTTTGTTTTCTATGTCCCTTGGTAAAAAATTGAACTGAAATTTTTTTTCTACCTTCTGTACTTAAATGGCACAATTCTGACTAATATTTGTCGGCAAGCGAGTTATTGACCCATACAGCTCCTACAGAGTTACCATGATCCTTTGGACATCTCTCCGTGACCAAGGCTGCTAGTTTAACCATCAAGTCATATCTTGATAGTTATTGCAGCCGTGTCATCCTCTGCTCCGTTTTTTAGATGATAGTTTCAACAGTACTTTACGAGGTACTTAAAGTTTAGGACATTGTTTTCTTCCCCCAACTCTAACCTCTCTATAACTTTATCTTTGACCTTTCTATTGTTTCTCATGATGATCCTTGTTCTCTGATATTCTTCAATAAATCTCAAGGCACTTATATTAGGATTAAAATACACACAGCTGCTATCAATTTACTATATGGTGACTTATGAAGATTAATATACAGGATTTTTTTTTTCTTTTTGGAATGGCACTGAACGGGGAGGAATTCCACTATAGTACATTTATTTATCTATTTTTTTGTAAAACACTCTAGTGGAAATATTTGTATTATCATTATTCTATCATCTACAGCAGGGGTCCCCAACATGGTGCCTGCAGGCACCAAGGGGCCCTCAAGGACCACAAGGGGTGCCCTTAGAGTCTTCTGAAAATAGAACAGCTCAACAGTGAGCTACGTTTGAAATTTCACTGTATTCTGTTGCTCTTCTTTTTTTAATAGGGTCATAGAACATTTCATCGTTTAATCATATATGGCATTTAAACATTTATAGAGATTTCAAAATAAAAATGTCTAAAAGAAAATAATAAATTTAAAGAAACGATAAAGATATGTTTATGATGTATGAAGTTTAGGTGAACTTTGACCCTTGCAATTCATAGGTCAGTATTGGTAGCCCTTCCTGTGACTCAGTACCCCTGAATTAGCCCTCAACTGTAAAAAGGTTGGTGACCACTGATCTGCAGTATATTCACTGAAATGTGCAAAGATTTGTGGTTTGAAAATGGGAAAAGTATCAGTGAGTACAAATATTCTAGAAAGCTAGAGTAGGAATTACTCCATGGTTGAAATTCACCTGCAAATGGAAGTTAAAATGGTTGCTTAAAAGGTCTGAAGGAAATATTTTATCAAAACATCATTTCAACATTAAGCTCCAGCATTTTTTTTTTTTCAAAATAGGCTTTTTTAAGCAAAAGAACACATGATTTCACACGCCATTTTCTGTTAGAAAATTATTTTCCATCCAGTCTACTCTAGGCTGTGTTTTGCCGTTTGGTGAACGGTTGGTCCTGCACTCACTAATTCCTCAGCTCCTCTTGACCACTATTCCCTCAACTATGTGTTCATGTAGTCCAAAGGAAGAACAAGGGCAAAACAAGGCACAGGAAAGGGGGAGGGGGGGATTGGGAGATGAAGAGAGTGAGGGATGAAGAGTTAAACAAGTAGAAAACAAGATTTTAAAGAAAAAAGAAGTAGTAAGCACAAAGTGAAGGAGAAGAGGCTCAAAAAAGTGTGTGTGTGTGTTCTGATGAAATCTGCCATCCTCAGCAGCCTTCTGTTAAAAGAAATCGGATTAGCTCTCCTCTGGGAGGGAACCTTCAAGAATGCAGATGAAGGATTGCAGCACAGGTTCCTCTCCTGGACTCTAGGATGCCCTCAGACATACACCCACCCCACACACACCCCTACATACCCAGTTTCACTCTCACTTTTACTTTTAAAAGGCATTCCTTCATTTTATCCTATTCAAAAAGGCATAAATGTATTTGATTGAAGTAGAAAAAGACTGTCTTCGATACTAATTCACTTTTTCAATCTTTCAGTTTAGTCTCACCTTAACTTTGGGACTTGTCCGTTTTTTTCCATTTCAAACGGGTTGATTTAAGTTGGATTTAATTTATTTTCGACATAAAGAAGCTGAATTTTAAAGTAATAAATGTGGAGCTTCAAATGAACTACGTGACATTGGCAGCTATTGACAGCTTTTTCCAAGGATGTTCTGCACATATCTGAAAGGCTGATATCAAACAGCTCACCCAGGTCTGCATTAACGCTTAGAAAGTAACAATCCTGATGCTTTCTTACAAGACTGTGATGTAGGGTTCATATTATCAGCTTTACAGCTTTTCCTTCTCAGGTGTTTGAACTTGCAGCTCATGAAATTTTGTATTAACCAACTTTTTTTTAAGTATAAGACATGTTTATAAATGTTAAGCAAAGCAAAAGAAATAAAGTGAGGCTTTCTGATAATGTTGGGAAAAGTTGCAGAAGAGTAACTTGATGGACTGAATATACCTGTTATATGTATAGGTTATATTATAGTTTAAATTGAGTCAGTCTAAGGAAATAATGAGTTAGTTAGTTAGTTAGTTAGTTAGTTAGTTAGTTAGTTAGTTAGTTAGTTAGTTAGTTAGTTAGTTAGTTACTTCCAGTAAAAGAAACATTAGGTAAAAACATAAAGAAAATTAAATTCAGGGAAATAAATAAATCTTTGGGCACCAACAGGGAGTTAATTTCATTTTGATCTATAAATTATTATAATTCACCTAGTAATTACCTGGCATTTTATAATATTAGATTTTAAAAACAGTAGATTTGTTTTTTTGTGTGATATGTAAAGCCTGAACTGAAATAGAATTGCTATTGATTTTTGCAACTGTTTTGGAAATATTTTTGATATGTTGTTTTTATGTTTGCTTGTAATCAATAAAATCCTTAGAAAGGTCAAATTAGTCACTTATTGACCTGTGAATTATATTCTCTGTGACTTATTTTTATTTATTTCATTTTCAATTCTTCCTACGGATTTGGAAGCTCCCTTTAGTGAGCACAATCTGAAATTGTGCTGAATGGTTGCTTGAGACAAAAATTATATGCTGTAAAAAAAAAAAAAAAGAAGATGGGGAGGCAGTATTTAGACAAGATTTTGCAATCCCTGCTCTGTATCACACCAAATGTCATCAGAAATGTCATCAGCTTACGTTATAATAACTAGAACCTGCACATCTGCTTACAACTACGGTTAAATAAAGCATATAGCCATTTATACAAACAACAACAAGTTCCTGTTGTAGCTAAATATTTAGATATGTCACTTTTTATTCTAATAATAGCCATTGGATGTCATTAGATATCGTGGACTGACAACAGTTGCATGAAATTCATTTCTGCTCAAAGCAACTTTCTATATTGTCTTTCACAGAGCTAATTGTCAGAGCCTGGGTATGAACTCAGTGTTTTTTGGTCTTGCAGCATTTTGTTCCTTCTTTAAACCCAACATTCCATTTGTTGCAAAATCCTGGTACAAAAAGTGTTTTTAAGAGAGGCTATTTTTTTATGCTGAGGAGAAATACATTATCCTACTTTATTTACTTAAAAAATGCATGTACTTTCTTTCACGAAGGATCTTTGGAAGAAGAAAAATTTGCAGCTTTTTTTCTTTAGCATTTCCAATAAGCAACCCCACTTTCCATTGTATGCAATGCTAAAGTGCTCAAATTTAAAATACAAAAATAATTATGAGATAGATATTAACTTGATAAAATAATACATAAATACAAACAGTTATATTTTTGATAAAAACTGATGAAATTTGATAATATGCCTAAACAATAATTTCTATTATTGGATACGATTTCAAATAAAATGCCTTAGTTTTTCGTATTATAGGTAATTTTACTAACATTCAGTTGTTTTACAATTTTTATTGTCACATTAGATATTTGTGTTTCACTTATTAAATTATATATTTATGTCACAATGATTTATTCATTTCTTTCATTTTGATAACTGTCATGTTCTATACCATTGACGTATGAAGCTTAATTTAAAATTTAAATCGGAAAGACTCTTATCGGCTTCACCTGAACCACCTGCGATGTCCTTCGTTCAACTCCAGCCAATCAACTCGGGGGGCTGCTCCTTCTCTGGAGCCAATTGTCTTTCATGATCCTCTTCGCTCAGCTCTTGACCTAGCTTCTCTCTCCCGCACGCAAGCAAACTTTCACCCACCTCCACCCCATCTCTTCCATCATTCTCTGTCCGACTCTTCCGCTGACATATTCTACCACCAGTGTCCTGGGGAAGACTACTATAATCCTTTTCTAGGTTACTCATCCAAGCGTGTGTTGATTCACAGTCTTCTGCTGGGACCCTAGCACCAAAGAATTTATTTCCTTTATGTCTTCATCTGCTTCTGTCTCCTTGAACCCCAGTCAGCTGAGGCTGACTGGTTCTGATGGAGGTTTGTTCCTTCTAAAAAGGAGTTTTTCTCTCCACTGTCACTACATGCATTCTTGGTGTGAGAGATTGCAGAGAGTCAACAAGTCCTCTCAGTCAGCTGGTTTTACTAAGACAGAAACAATTTAAAAAATATGACTGTAATACCTGTATAAATAAAGAGAATACTACTTTTGTAATTACAGCTTTTCTCTGTGTGAGCCTCTCGGGGTTGAAATTTATTTTAGAGGTATTTCCTTTTACCTTAACAGGCAGTCATAGTCTGCCATCTCTTTCCTATTACTCGTTGGTGTCAGAAAAGTGCATTTTAAGTTTATTTATCTGCTTTAACAAACACTGATTTTTACTAAAGACTTTGATTTTGTTATGGTTTAAACACTCAAAGTCAGGATATCAAAGTCAAAAATGCTATTATTTCTACAGTAACCAAAAGGGTTAAGTTTGAATTTGATGTTTCTCCTTTTTGGTGTTGGCTAATTATTTTGTCTTTGTTCTTTTTATTCTGTTTTAGCACACAGTTATCTTTATTAAGGATTAGTCTGACATTCTGTCTGTTTTGTTTTTTTTCTCTTTCAGACTGGCATGGCGTTAACATACGATCCTGCTGCAATGCAGAATGGGTAAGAACTTTATCTTTGGCACCAACTAATGCACTCACCTCGTGGCTCATAGAAAGAGTCAATACCACTGTCATACATAAAGATTAATGTAGTGTCTGCAGTTTGTTACAGTTTGATTAAGGAAATCTATACAGACTCTAAGTATTGGCTTTCACTGGTGGGGATGGATGAGAAATGTGGGGCAGAGAGTGGAAGCTGAGGGAGCTTTTCTGTGTGTGTGCTTGTTTGTCCTCATGTGTTCTCTACATCTTTATGTAATAAATTAATGGTGATCTGAAAATAAATGACCTGAGCGACATATTTTATTTTTCCCTGTTCCTCTGAGACAGGAAGGCGCATGCTGAGCCCACCACCCCTCTATCTATCCCTGACCTCAGTCATTAACAGGAAACTCCTCACTCCCACTTCCTAAACCACTTACACCCCAGCAACCACAAGTCAGTCTCAACCAGCGGCCTACACAGACAGCATCACTCTCTTTACACAGCCTGCAATGTAAACGCTCTGTCTGATTTTTAGACATTTTAGCTGGCATTTATTCAGAAGAGAAATGCATTTATTTTCAGACAGATGCAGTACTGTTCAACTGTATTTAAAATGAGTAAATATAGAGTACTTATCCACAATAGAATAGAATGGAATGGAGCAGAGTGTGGGTTCTCTCAAGGTACTTCGACTTCCTCCCACGGTCTAAAAACATGACTGCTATGTTAATTGGCAGCTCTAAATTGTCCTTAGGTGTGAGTTTGTGCATGGTGTTGCATCTCCGTGTGTCTCTGTGTTGCCCTGTGACAGACTGGTGATGGATGGATGGATGGATGGATGGATGGATGGATGGAT